ATAAATGAATCATCAGCACAGCGAAACCACAGAATGACACCAGCTTCCCTAAAAGAGTCTCTCTATATTTATAGCTGCTAAACTTGCATATTTCTGTTTATAAATACTCAGTAATAACTGACCGCAAAGTGACATGGTCTTCTCAGCAGACAGATCCTAAAAAAATACTTGTTCTGTCTTTCATTTCTTCCTGAGTTATTTTAAACCAGACTTTTGCACCTCCAGATATACTGAAGTCCTGGTACTAGTGCATGTGATCAGGACATTTTCTGCATAAAAAGACAGCCAGGAGAGAGCTCTTCTGAAGAAAGTTGATTAAAAGTGTTGATCCTTGTGAGGTGTATCTGAGGACATTATGCTATCTGGGAACTGCACTGCTACTAAGGCAGGTCAGCATATGTTATCGCATTATAAACTCACTTTAAACCCTTTGGCCTGCTTCAGCTGTATTTTCCAAGGGGTTGTGTTTTCAAAGAGTCTGAAGTTGTAGTAACATGAGGAAAATTGGTCACTGCTGGTGTGTACAGGTGGGAAACCCAAAGCACTGCCTCACAGAGGGAAAGTCAAGCGAAGCCCAGTCCTTACGCGTGGCGACGGACAATGACATGTTGACCAGTTAGCATCGATGCAGTTGCGAGTGAGCCCAAGAATGTGCTGCACCTGGCCTAGACAAACCAGTCACGGGTGAGGTGGGAGCAGAGGACATGAAGTGAGGGGAAGGAAAGGGCTGGAGTGTGGTGAGGAAAGGCCATGAGGGGAGAGCTGAAGTGGCTGAAGTGTCCCCCCAGTGCATGGGGCACAAATCTCCAGAAAAGAAAGTGATGCTAGTTCTGCTGCTCATTGAACAGCTTGCTGTCGGATGGCTTTACTCAGTGAAGGCTGTGAATGTGTTTGCAGCAGTTGGTAGGTACAATCTTTCCAAAGACATCAAACCTCATTTCCTGCAGTTTTGCTCTTTTTGAGTCTGGTAAATGTCTGGGTTATTTGCTGGGAACTTGCCTGGCTCTTGTGACCAGGGTTACCATTAGAGACTCCCACCTCTATTGCATAAGTCACTCATATAGTAAAAGCCTGTACTGAGACTTAATATAACACAGGTCACCCAATCTGACAACTCTTCTTTCTGGTTGCCATACAGTGAGCTGGAAAAGGAAGAACGGAAACAATTTTATAATTCATGAGGTCAGATTCTCAGAATGAAGTGCAGGGGCTCCAGAAACCAAGACCAGCAGTTTTGTAGCCCAAATGTAGGAGTTTAGCACCAATGGAGATGAGTTCGTTCTTTTCACTGAGAAGATGGTGCACTTCAGGGCAGTAGCTAATTTTAGTTGCATTATCAACCTTTCAGGTTTATGGATAACAGGACTGTGTAAGAAAAAACGGGTAGCCATGTGTGGGGCTGACAGCTGTAGAGACCCTTGCAATGACTGCATTGATGAGGAGGATATAGAGACTGTAAAGACCATTACAGACTGAAAAATGTGGCTTCATGATTTTTTCTCTTTGTTTATTTACTGAAGTTGCTGTAATGTGGTGGATATTGCCTGCAGAAAAGAATATGTGCAACCCAAGCGTATGACAAATCCCCGAAGATTGCAGTGTATTCATAGATGTCATCATCTATATGTTTCTTCTCTCCATAGTAGATGGCTGCATGGTCTCAAAAACTGTTAAGTTTTCATCTCTTAAACAATATTCTGAGGTCTCTAGTATAACTAAGACTGATATTAGTTAAAGAAAAAGTTAATGAATTATGTTAGCGTTAAATAAAAAATGGTTCTTACATGCTTACTGTGATAGACAGCTATGTTGTTGTTATTACTCATTAGTATTTATTAATCATTATTTGGTCAGTGAGAGCACCACAAAGCCTAAGCCTCAGGCTGGAACTCCAGTGCTCCAAACCGGGGCTGCTCAGCTGAGGTTCACGAAGCCCGGGGAGGGTTTTACTGAGGTCTGCTAGCAGAGACCTGTGTGCTGACGCTAGGCCGGGCAGGTCAGCCGGACACCACGCACTGCCTGCCGGGGCTAGCAGCGAGGCAGTGCATGACAGCTGCTCCCTGGGGGACCAAGAGGCTGTAAGAAATGCAGGGTTGCCTGCAGCGGGCATCACACGTCAGGACAAGGCACAGGAAAAATTGGCTTGTGTTCAAGTTCCAGAATGAAGTCTTCCACTGGATTGCCTTCTTCTAAACAGCTGGAGGCCAACATTGCCACAATTCATAACCCATTTCTTACCCCTTCTGCTCAGGAGCCTGGATGCCATAATCTGCTTATATCTGTTATTTCTTTATACTCCTTTATAGTCCAGGGCTACAAAGATGATGAGGGGACTGGAGCATCTCTCGTATAAGGAAATGCTGAGAGAGCTGGGGCTGTTTAGCCTGGAGAAGACTGAGAGGGGATCTTATCAACGCTTATAAATACCTAAAGGGTGGGTGTCTAGAGGCCAGACTCTTCTTAATGGGAAGCTAACAGGACAAGGGGCAACGGACACAAACTGGGATGCAGGCAGTTCCACCTGAATATAAGGAAAACTTCTTCACTCTGAGGCTGCCCAGAGAGGTTGTAGAGTCTCCTTCTCTGGAGATATTGAAAACCCACCTGGACACGATCCTGTGCAACCTGCTCTAGGTGATCCTGCTCTAGCAGGGTGGGGTTGGACTAGGTGATCTCCAGATGTCCCTTCCAACCCCTACCCTTCTGTGATTCTGTGATCCATTGCAAAGAGAACCTTAATGTAAGCTGTAACACTAAGATGGATATTATGGAAGGAAAGGGGAATCAACCCATTTATGATTCACAAGCAATCTGGGAAATCACAAAAGATTTATGTTGTCCATGAAGAACTTGCTAAAAGACATTATGTGAAGATTGCAATTATTTTGCTGCTGACTATGCTGTGGGACACCTTTTGTTACCCGTGAGAATTTTTTATTTGAGGTAGAACGTGAAATAGTCATGTGAAGACATGAGTGTATGTAAACTACTGTTCGTCAGAAAAAGGGAAATTTAGTCATATATTTAGCAGTCATTTCCCCTTTTTTGGGAAATCTGAATACATATTTTTTTCTCTCTCTCTCTGTCAGTTTCTCTCATCCTCACTCTACGGAAGGAAAGAAAGGTGGGTCTAAAATGTCGTTTGATTCTGACACAAATCTAATTGGGCAACGAGAGACAAATTTCCGCTATGTGTTGAGCTAAACCCTATATAAGGTCCTTGCTAGCAATTTTCTGTCTTATGTCTTTTCATGAGAAGCTAATGGCTGAAAGACTGCAGAACCACAGGTAAGTGAATCTGTTGGAAATTTGGGAATGAAAACCTCACCTAAACCCTCAGTTTGTGTAGGGCTTACGGAGATTGCTAGAAACTAAACCAAAAGGGACCAGAAAGCTCTGAACAAAATAACCAAGTATATTCATCAGGCAAAGGATCTAACAAGAGACAAACTCCCATTACAGGGTATTACATGCGAAGCGTGGGGCTTGTTAATGCCACAGACAAAACCACCAGCAGCACCCAGTCCAGGCGTAGCCCTGAGAGGGGCTACAACTCCACGCCAATGCCCTGGAAACCCTTGTCAATCTAGCGGTAGGGGAGACAACCTGTGGTTATGAAACAGTATTATTCAGGAAGAGGTTGGCTTTGTGGTGTTGTAGAGATTACAATAAGCTGGAAATAGTTTATTATAGTAAAAGTATCAGAATGTCAGATAAATATAGCTACTAGAACAGGGAGAAATTTGGATTAAAACTGCATTATAAATATGAGCATGCTGGGATACACAGAAGATGCCTGAAGGTGAGTACCTATGAATGCGACTGTGTTATATTGGTAGAAATATGTTTTTGCTTTTGGATACAATTTGAAGTAGTTGTCCAGTCATTTAATATTTATCCTATGGGACAACCATAGTGTTAGGCTAATGTTAAGTGCATGCAATTTACATTTTTATATATAAAATGGAAATAGTATGTTTCATGTGCATATATATACTGTATGGCACATAGATACCTTACATAGAGCATAAACTTGTGCCTATACAAAGTATGGTTTATGTATTTTTCCCTGTGGTACACTGAGATAACACATAATTGATCAACTGAGTGGCAGCAGCTGAAACCTCGTGGTAGACCAGAAAGCATTCAGTGACGTACACAGAAACTGCCTTGCCCATGCCAGGCCAATACAGATGACAATTAATGAATGACTGACAGCAGATAGTTGTTGGTTTTTTGGTTTTTTTTTTTTTCCCTTAGTGTCACCGTGTCTGATTTTTAGGGCAAGTTGTTCAGGGTTTTCCTCATCTTTTTTTAGCACAGATAGTAATACTGTCCACACTGAAAACTCGCTTGCTCACTAACAGCAAGATGAGCGTGCATGCCATGGGAGTCAAAGTTTTTTGTCCCAAGAGAAACATTTGTTGTAGACTCCAAAAGCTTGGCTCGGGTTATAGCAGGACATTTGCCCGCAGCCTGATCTACGCTAGCTGGTCTACTTTGGTAGCCACAGTGGAGAAGATAAAATGACATAAGATTCAATGAAGTCCATGCAACCTTGAGAGACATCTGAAGTGACTGCTTAAGAGAGCTAAAGCCTATTCTGCTTCATCTTTGCTCCTGTGTTCACCCAAGCTATTACACTACAGCTGACTCAAAGCAGCTGACCCGTGCCTCAGTCACATCTTATTGCAAAATAAGCAGAGCTAGAGTTTTACATCCGTAGCTGTTGCACTGGAAAGCCGTGGGGACAGCAGCATCTTGTGGTACGTTGTTTGCATGTCCTGGAGCGAAAGGAAAGGGACAGAAGCGATGTGTTTGTGCCAAGCCAGATGCTCTTGTTCCACTAGTCAGCCCCCATAAACTAGGGATGAAGAAGCCTTTCTGCTCCCTAGGGTGAACAAAAGCTCACCAAAGAGTGAGCAAAAGAACAATTAACTGTGAAGTTAATGTTGAGTATTTTCATTGTATCTTCTGTCTTGTAATAAACTTCCCTGTAGATTTCAAGATACTTTCCCTCGGTCTTCTCCTTCTGATTTTGTCTGGGAAAAAATGTGTGGGCTTTTCTTTGTCCTGGTGATGTGCACAGCAGGTGCCTCCGCTTTTAGAATCCAGCAAGTCAAAAGCACAGGTAAGGGCATGCTTTTTTTTTTTTTTTCCCCCCCCTCTCCCTCTCCCTTCTTTTTAATGTGCCTGGCTAACAGTAATGTAAAACTATCTCTGATTTATATAGAAAACTGCCCAGATCACACCGTGTTTTTCAAACACTACTATGAACTGCACGGAGAACCTGTGGTTCTGAAATGCCCTTCCCCCAGATACAAACATTTGGATATTTCTGCCTTGACCCCTAATATCACATGGTATAAAAATAGTTCAAAATCCATGATATCAGGAAGAGATGAAGATCCAAGAATCTGGGCAAAAGGAGATGCACTCTGGTTTTTACCAGCAATGCTAGAAGACTCAGGAGTATATATCTGCACCAGAAGGTGGGTATTTAAAAGAAAATCCAGTGCACTAACAAGATGACTATGTCTAAAATATATTAGCTTGATTCTAAACTCCAGTTACGTTCAGAGCATGTCTGGATAAGATCATTTCCTTGCTGACTTTATTAGACAAAAAATGTGGAAAGTCAGAACTCTTAAATGCATTGTATTTCTCCTATCATACGTATACTGAAATTTGGATTAATCGTGACACAGTATTGCCATTCTGGGTATGAGGAAATAGTGTACAGAGAGTTTGTTCTAGCTTATTTATGAGCCAGTCAGTGCTATGGCAAGCAGGGACATGCTGCAGGCAGGGGAGTCTGCAGAACGCAACCCTCATATTTCAGCTCCAGAGAAGCAAATAGCCTTGTTTGCACTTCAGATTGCCTTACGAAGCATATACCAAGGCACCATGGCTCCACAGCGGTTTCCTTCTTGCCTCTTCCTTATCCCTGGTCTTTACTTTTCTTCTGCTTCACATTTTAAACCAGAATTTGATCATCTTGGTATTGCTGGAAGATATTTCATGAGAACCGATGCGTATTGGTACTGGTACCAGAGTTCAGATACTGCAGTGGGTTGAGACTTGAGCCATGGCTTTTTTCAGCCCTATTGGTCATTTTTTTTTCTGAGTGTTTACAATCTGACAGCCCGTTGTACAGTTTCAAAAGAGGTAACAGGGTCTGGATTTGTGGCCGCCTTGCTCTGTGGTCTATAGTGGGAAACATATCTCTACATTCCTGGAGCTGCCTGGGCAGAGCGCAGTTTCCTTGCTGGCAAAGCACTCCTCGTGAGTGATGTGTGTCAGCAGTGGAAGAGATGGACAGGCAGAACTCAAGTTAATAAATCATGCTCAGCATACTGGGTTGGCCTTTCCGCATGTCTCAGCAGCGATTGCGGTGGTGGGGCAGAAGAGAAGACTTTAATAGTGAGGCTGGAATAAGAGAAGGCTGCAAATACTGTCCTACAGCACAGCGGAGTTGCCTGAGATCTTCAAGGGTGGTTTTTAACCCCCTTTTTGGACTCAGCTTCTCAACCTATAACACTGAGGCAGTGTTACTGACAGCTATAGTAAAATGCTGTGAAACCTGTTTGAAAAAGATATGCAAGAGCCGAGTACATAGCTTCATCGCTAACATTATTACAGGATTAATGAAGTACAAACAAATTGCATTTCTTTCGCAAATCATCCCACAGGGAAGCCACCAGATATTTTTCAACACTGTAAAATGAGAGTATAAGCAAATTATCACAGATTTCTGCTTCTGCCAAGCAAATATTTTGGATTTAGATGTCCGACCTGTAGGTGTCAGCCAGTCACAGTGCCCCAGCTGTAGTGCGAGTCTGTCTGCTCGCAGCCCCCAGCTGCTCTCCAGGAGGTTGCAGCCCGGACCCCCGGGCTTTGCTGGCCCTTGCAGGGTCAGGTATCTCCAAGGCAGACTTTCAGAGGTCAGAAAGGACATAGTTTAAGCACCTATCCCCCCCCAGTTTGGTCCTCCTTGAGACTGGAAGCGATTGTCACTTGGGGCCAGAAAGAAAAGTTAAATATTGTAAAACTTTCAAGGCAGGGAAGCCTTCTTTCCCATGCAAAACAATAAGCGCTCACAGAAATGCCTGTTGGTTGTGCAATAGTAACTGCAGATGTATTTTAATACATGCTTTAAACTTTTTATTTCATCTTTAGGTCCCAATCTTTAGGGTTTTCACAGTAAAGACCTCTTTCAAGGAAATGGTGGACGGTTCATGACACACCTGCTACTGTTTAGGCGGACATGTTCCCCCTCTTTGCAAAATTAAAATCGTGCCTTAGCCTAAGGGTGCACAGCAAACTTGGTGTACAAAAAAGAAAAGACTGAAGCTCCAAGGCAGACATATGTCAGCAACATGTTTATATTGTGTCAAAAAATAGCACCAGTGGTTTTCCAGGATCCCACCTGGTAAGATCTCAGTCTTGGCCTCTTGGAAATGGCTAAGGAGGGAAATGGAGCCAGGAGGAAACCACAGGTGTCACCTGAGTTCCCCTTGTCGCTGGTGGGCGCTCACCTCTTCCCACTCTGTCTGCAGGAACTCCTCCTACTGCGCCGAGGTCTCCATCCACCTCACGGTCGTGAAGAAAACAGCTGCTCGGGAGATCGCCTATCTCCAGGTCCTCTTCACTTTCACCTCTGGAAAGATTGTTTGCCCTGACCTGTGGGATTTTACACCAAATAGGACAAGCTTGGAGCTCAAGTGGTACAAGGTAGAAATTTCACCTCCTCTAATCTCAACCTGTTTGTAAAGGCACATACATCTTCACTTTCCGTTTCTCCTGAACGTGATGTTGTCAAAGCCATGAGCACAGTATGATATGCTGGGAATTTTGTGGCAGGTGTATATATTTTAAGAAAGGTTCTCTGGGGTGGACTCAGCACAGGGTGAAGTGCTCCACATATTGTATGTTCTCACAGGCAGTGTAACTAGTTTTAAGACTAGATTACCTACCCAAACTCCAGGGTTTGCCACATCAGATTAGGCCCTTCTCTTTGGCGTTATGCTTCTTTCTGTGGCCCTTCTAGTGAATGCCATAAAGAAGGTCCTCCCAGTGATGCTTCCCTCGTGTGAGCTGTTCAGATGGGGCAGCTTTCGTTAATCAACTGGAATACAGCATTTGGAAATACTGGGTTCATCACACAATGCCTAACTTGCCAGTTCATGGCTTTTCAAGTAGGCAAGCCTGGGCTTGCCTGTAAGGTCAAATGTCCTTCACTTGATCGTCCTCAGCTGTACAATCTCACATTGGAGAGCACAGGATTCTTCTTATATTTTCATAATACCTTGGTTTAGCTTTTATTTACACTCCCACTGTGATTATATGCTCTGCCTCATGCAGCTATCATCCTTACCATAGGATGTAATACCTAGGCTGGCTTCATACAGCAGTGCCTGTGTCATGGTTGGTACTGTACCAGCAAAATGTCTCTGATCAGGATTCCCTTCAGAAGCAGGCTATAACCCACTTGTCTAAGTAAAAGGCTGCGCCCCTCAATATGGTTCTTGCTACAACTGCCTGAAAGAGCTAGCTAGTTTCTTCATGAGGAAGGAACATCATTGCTCCTAGCAGGGCTCCAACCCATGTGGGAACAGAGCCTTAGTGATACAGAGTGGGAATTTATCACAGATTATGAGATCATAGTAACTAATAGCTTTGTGAAAGCTGCATGATTACTAAAATGTGTTTTTCTTAGAAGAATGGCTTAGGATATTACTCTTGTGAGGTCATGTATGGAAAGTAATAGTGTTGTGAATACCTTCATGGTTAGTAAAATGATTTTGTCTTAGAAGAATGTGTTAGATGACTACTCTTAAGATAACTCAGTAAAGAGCCTATTATATCTTTTCCATCCTAAAATGTGCATTTTATTGAAAAGCTATACACATACATTATAGATACATTAAAACAGTGATTCTTCACAATTCATATAGTGCCTCAAAGCATTTTAGTGATGGATACATGTTTGAAGAACTTGCCCTTTGGTGGGAACGTGGAACTGCTCAGATTTCCCATTGATAAATGAACTTTTAATAACAGAGGGACAAGGATAAGTAATTTTGTTTGGAAGTTACACAGAGTGTAACTACAGCTATCATCTGAGCCGTAACACCAGTTGCTGTCTTTTCTCCAGGATGCTCTGCCTTTGGAAGAAAACAATGAAAAATTCTTAATTCTGAAGGGTTCAGCATCTCTGATCATGACTTCTGTGGTACCAACAGACGCTGGCTATTACACCTGCAAGATGTCATTCCCATATGAAGGTGTAATGTACGAAATCACCAGAACAATTCAGCTGGAGACTGTTGGTAAATATTGACCCCTTAAAACATTACAGCACATAAGAAAAATCCCATCTCTGTTAATCAAGCTCGGGAGGGGAACTCCTGGTTGGCCTCTCAGCACTGCCCGGGAAAGGGGGACGCCATGGGTGCTGGCTTTGGCACCCCCAAGTTCCCCACAGGTCACCCCCGTGCGGGAGGCACAACTGCGTGTTGCGAGCGCCTGTGGTTGTGAAATCGAATAATTTATGTCTTGGGGGGGAGGTGTGTCTGTGTGTGTCACTGCAAACGGCTTCAGAAGGCTTAGAAAATAAACCATTTAACACTCGCTCAGGACGGGGGAAAGCCGGCATTTCGCAAACGGGTGAAACCGGCTCGCGGCGGGGGGC